TGCACCCCTTACATCACTGCATGCCTAACATCCCTGCATTCTTTTCATCCCTACATTCTTTTCATCCCCATATTCCTTGCAACCCTACATTCTTTTCATCCCTACATTCTTTTCATCCCTACATTCTTTTCATCCCAACATTATTTTCATCCCTACATTCTTTCCATCCCTACACTCCTTCCATCCCTACACTCCTTTCATCCCTACACTCCTTTCATCCCTCCACTCTTTTCATCCCTACACTCCTTTCATCCCTCCACTCTTTTCATCCCTACATTCCTTTCATCCCAACATTACTTTCATCCCTACATTCCCTACATCCCTACATCCCTTATATTTCGGTATCCCTTACATGTTTGCATTATTCACACATTCCCAACATTTTTATGTATAATCGTGCAAAACTTAGTCCCTTTTTTCGCCGCCAGAGGGCGCTGATCGGACATCGAAATTTTAGTTCGAATTTTTGCCACTAGGGGGCGCTACTTTTTCGAGGTTTTCTCGAAAATCTCGAAAAAACAGCGCCCCCTAGCGGCCAAATTTGGAACTAAAATTTTCGAAATTTTTTTAGTTCGAATTTTTGCCGCTAGGGGGCGCTGTTTTTTCGAGATTTTTGCGAAAAGCGCGGAAAAATTAGCGCCCCCTAGCGGCCAAATTCGAAACTAAAATTTTCGCAAAAATGCAGCGCCCCCTAGCGGCCAAGTTTGGAACTAAAATTTTCGAAATTTCTTTAGTTCGAATTTTTGCCGCTAGGGGGCGCTATTTTTCTCGAGCTTTTCGCGAAAATCTCGAAAAAAACAGCGCCCCCTAGCGGCAAAAGTTCGAACTAAAAAAATTTCGAAAATTTTAGTTCCAAATTTGGCCGCTAGGGGGCGCTATTTTTGTCGAGCTTTTCGCGAAAATCTCGAAAAAATAGCGCCCCCTAGCGGCAAAAATTCGAACTAAAATTTCGATGTCCGATCAGCGCCCTCTGGCGGCGAAAAAAGGAACTAAATTTTGCAAAATTTCGGGCGAAAAACTAACTTACCTTTACTTACCTTTACTCGAAGCAGTCTTTGTAATATATTTATTATAATGTGTGCATGGATATAAGGGATGCAGGGATGAAAGGAATGTAGGGATGAAAAGAATGTAGGAATGAAAAGAATGTTGGGATGAAAAGAATGTAGGGATGAAATGAATGTAGGGATGGAATGAATGTAGGGATGAAAAGAATGTAGGAATGAAAAGAATCTAGGGATGAAAAGAATGTAGGAATGAAAAGAATGTAGGGATGAAAAGAATGTAGGGATGAAAAGAATGTAGGGATGAAAAGAAAGTAGGGATGAAAAGAATGTAGGGATGAAAAGAATGTAGGGATGAAAAGAATGTAGGGATGAAAAGAATGTAGGGATGAAAAGAATGTAGTGATGAAGAGAATGTAGGGATGTAATGGATGAAGAGATAAAAAGAATGTAGGGATGAAGGGATTGTAGGGATGAAGTGATTGGAGGGATGAAAAGAATGTAGTGATACAAGAGGTGTAGAGATCTAACTAAACGAGGCATGTTTAAGGAAGCCGCAGGGGTCCGGGGCTGGGGCCCCGGTCTCCACTGCACGCGGCCCGAGGATTGCCGGCATCGGGTGTGGCCCCCGATGTCGGCGGAGCTTGGAACATAGGAGAGGGTCAAAGGTCAGACCCTGCAGGCCACCGTGGTGGTTTTAGTGGGTAAAAATCCCACACTACCTACGGCCCCTCCCCAGAGGGGCTGTAGGTGTCTTTCTGAAGATTTCCACCACGTAAAAATAAAAAAAAAAAAAAAAAACCGGAAGTAATGGATGCAGGAATATAACGGTTGGAGTGATGTAAGGAATGTAAGGATGTGAGGAGTGCAAAGATGTAAGGAATGCAGGGATATGAAGAATGCAGCAATCTAAGGGATGCAGGGATATGAAGAATGCAGCGATGTAAGGGATGCGGGAATATGAAGAACGTAGCGATGTAATGGTTGCAGAGATGTAAAGGAATCAGGTATGTAAAATATTCACAAAGAAGTAATGAAATCAACTAATTCTCCTCCTAATGAGTTTTTTTAATAAATTCAGAAAATAAATACAGCAAGTTAAATGAACGCAGAAAATAAAATAAGAATTTATATGTTTGACAAGCAGATCCGCGCTCCTTGGCTGTCGCTAGAAGACTGAAAGGATTTCAATTTGCTCGAGGTCGAACGGTTGATAACGATGGCACAGCCAGCTACTATAGAAAACTAATTATTTATTTGAGAAAATTTTGTTTTTTCTCCAATACAGAGGTGTCTTCTATAAATTGAGCACGTCTGCTGGCTCGTGGTTTCATACTCACAAGGGGAACTACCCAAGTGTTACACTCACTTATTAATGAAACTTTGCCAGCTTGTAGAGCTCGTCGAGCTGAACATGCCTATATCCCCTTTTGGAGGCAGACGGCTAATTGTTTAAAAGATCTTAACAATTACAGTTAGTTACTCCATACATTCTGAAGTATGACAAACTCACACATACAACTCGCAATCTAGACATCCATGGTTCAAATCCTTGGTTCGCAAATTTTTTTTTTTTGTTAATGATAATTTGTCTCTTTTTGAATAACTAAAATTCTATATAATTCTAAACTAAAATTCTATATTCTATTTTGAATAACTTAAATTCTATAAAAATTGCAATGTATGTAATTAATTATTAATAAATGCAATGATTATAGCATAGCTGTAATAGTTATTTAAAAAGAGACAAATTATAATTAAAAAAAAAAAAATTTGCGAACCAAGGATTTGAACCGAGGACCTTCAGATTGTGAGTCATGTATCTGCTCCGTGGTTAAACATATGACTCGCAATCTAAACGTCGTCAGTTCAAATCCTTGGTTCCCATTTTTTTTTTTTTTTTTTTTTTAATGATAATTTGTCTCTTTTTGAATAACTAAAATTCTATATAATTCTAAACTAAAATTCTGTATTCTATTTTGAATAACTTAAATTCTATAAAAATTGCAGTGTATGTAATTAATTATTAACAAATGCAATGATTATAGCACAGCTGTAATAGTTATTCAAAAAGAGACAAATTATAATTTAAAAAAAAAAACTTGGGAACCATGGATTTGAACCGTGGACCTATAGATTGCGAGTCAAGCGCTTTACCACCGAGTTAACCATTTGTATATGTTAATCTGTCATACTTCTCAATATAAGTAGTAACTAACTTTAATTATTAATATCTTTTAAACAATTAGCCGTCTGCTCACAATACGGGGTATAGGTGTTTTCAGCTCGACAAGCTCTACAAGCTAGCAAAGTTTCATTAATAAGTGAGTGTAACACTTGGGTAGTTCTTCGTATCAGTGATGAGTATGTAATATAATATGTAATTTCATTTGTACTTTAATGAATACAATGGATCATGAATGAATTCGTTCATTAACTTTTATTACCTTCCAAATATGGTTGCTTTCTTGTATACGGCATACTTGACGCCCACTAAACAGGTGTTCTCGCAGTAGAGTTTCAAGTATTTCACTAATATTTCTCTGAAGCTTGATTTCACAGAGGACTTGTTTGTAACCGGCGGGATCCATTTATACGATGCGTCGGGTTCTTCTCGATGTAGCGCGTTTCTACCAGACATTTCATCGTTCCCTGAACCGATTAAAATACCTGTCATCGTTTGTATGAGTACTCGGAAACGAATGCACTACTTGCTGCTGCGTGAATGTTTGAAAATCCTACAAAAAGCATTCTGCATTAATTGCCTGCTAATTATTTAAAGAACGTTCTAGATAAATCTGAAGCCATTGTGGCAATGTAACCACATGTGGTTATGCGACAAGAGCAAAAAAGAAGACAATCTAAATTTAATAAAATACAATCACAAATGAAATTAATACAGAATAGCTTGAATTACGTTTCTCGATTAAAGCACTATGCTGAAGACAATTTCTATGAGACTGTACTCAGTGTCCTTTTGCGACGAGGATTATAAAACCCTCTGGTACGGCAGAAAGATTTCACTACAAAGATATCGCGTTCAACCCCGTTTATCTGACTCACGATCGACTGCCTATAATTACTGGAAAGTTGCAGATTCCGTCATGATACAATATCAATTTTTCATCTACATTGTTACTACTTTGTTGTAATTAGACTTCCTGTGTATTCTCTACAGAATTATAGATAAACCTGCGTTGAAATTAAAAGAAAACAAGTTGGAACATCATTTTTCTTTGAATAACTCCAACAGGAGTTGGAAGATCCCTGCGACTCGTACCCTTGAACTTAACTCGTACCTTGTTATTAAGGTCATAAAACTTCGAAACTTCATCGTGTGTCAGCTTCGTGACTAGAATGATCCAGCCGGGTTGCTCGTTCCGGGTTAGTCGTTAATCTGACCCGGGTATCTCACGCTCCATCGTTCGAAGCTCACCGCGAAGTGTTGCGTACGTGTGCCGTTATGAAAACCCGTCGCTCGTTGGCTGACGTGAATACATTAGCGAGAGAAGGGCACGTGCAAACGTTAACTGCAACACGACAGCCTTTGTTCGGGTCAAGAACAAACGAGTGCATGCAAATTGGATCAAGTTTACACGATGCTAACTCTATAAGGACTAACAGGATCAAAGCGATCCGTTTGCCAATTTCCCAGAAAGATTTTTTCTCGAAGTAACGATGTTTACTTGGAATGCGACAAGATTTAATTAAAGAAAAATTCCTTGGAAACAAGGGTCCATAGATTTCACGGTATTAAAAGTCTAATAACAAAGAAAATTAAACACGATGGAACAGCCAGTGATAATTTAATTTATCGAAGATCGTTGCCTTCGTCTATATCGTTCGTTTCAATTCCACGAAACGACCCCACGAAGACAAGATAGGCGCGAGAATGAGCCTTCCGGAGGAGCACGGTTACGGAAACGCGTTAATTCGCGCGGTGCAAGGAAAATTGGAATCGTAATGATTTTATTGCAACACTGCAGCGAGCTACGAGGCGACGTTCCCTGCTGCGTTTTAATAGTTTACCTTTTAAATTCGCCCGTTCGAACCGGGATCGTTTTTATATTTTTTTCCCCTACGCGTCGGGTAACGAGCATGTATAAAAATTCATCCGCGATACGAATTTAATGACACCGGCTCGCGGTGTACCGTCGAAAATTGAATGCGACTGATACTACGGAACCGGATCAATTTGATAACTTCGTCCACGTGCTGACCGTAACAATGGAATTCGAGGGAAAAACGCCCGGAGACATTTCCGTTTTGTTTCCGAATAATGGTGTGTTTTCCAGGTGGACTAGGTGCTGTGTTTGATAAATCCTTCGTGAAATTTGTAATATTTCAAAAAATCTTTCGATATATGCATTAAATGTGTTAAAACGTGCGATATTGTTACTCGAAGGAAATTGAAAGAGACAAGGAAACGTGGAAAGCGTTCCTTTCAAGAGGAAACCTATTTCAACAGCCGGCCAACAATTAAGAGATATCAATATCCATTTACCAAAGCTCTCGAGCTTTTGAGCCAGTCAATAATTCACTCGTACAGATCGCTGGTTCACACTGAATTTCATCTTTGTCCGTACCTCAAGCACGAGTCGATCCTCTCGAAACCTCAAGCACGTTCGAATGTTCGAGTTTCATAACAATACTGGACAGATAATACCGGTCGAAAGTTACGTAGGACTTGTCGTCGATAGAAGAGTACAAATAATTGTCTCGTCGAATTTGTAAAAGATACGATCAATTATAGATACTTATAATTATAGATGTTTTCAAAGAAATTTATTTTCCTGTAAAAAGTAATAAATTACAGTACTCGACTAAATTAATTAGAAGTTCCTTAATCAATGAAATAAAACTTCATTTTCCGCGATAATTCCCTCTCGATGTTCTGATTCGGTTCGTTATTGTAAACCTACGTTTCTGTGATTTCAACGTAGAGAATTGTAATATAATATTTCCAACAATATCCAATTCCCTGAATACATTTCAGTTAACCGTGCAATTTAAATGCAACAATAGCGGATATTTCTACCGTTCGATAAACATTTCCCTTACTGTCAGAATATAATTGTGATTTCGATCAATTAAAAAATGATCACGTTCAGTTTCCTTACTTTACACGCTTGAAAAGTACCCGTTCAGTTGGGAATTACTTTAAGTATCTTTTCCCAGTGATACCTCGCGACGTTTAGCGAGATCCTCTTTAATGCTTTAAGCTAACCTGTGGCAAAGCCTCGTTAGAAAGCTCGCAAGCCCTCGTTGCAATATGGATCCCCTCCAAGATTGCTGAATCTTCTTTCGGTAAATCCTGCGGGAAAGAAACGCAAAGGATCGCTAATTTCTCTGGGGATAGGGTCTTTTTCTTCCTGACTCTCCTCGTAAACGAAAGAGAAAAATACGGAGCAATTTGTTCGTCTAAATCATTGAATCGTTCCGTGCCATTTAGAAGAAAATAATTATCTAAAATCTAGATCATGTATCTCTGAAGAAGAAGAAAAGAATTCCTAGTAAAGATTGAAACATGCGTTAGTATTCGTTGCGATATCTATCATTGTTCCTTTTTGATTTCACATTAGAATACAATTCGCCCCAATAAATCGACTGTATGGGCGATTCCCAATGCTTGACTTGTTTTTTGTTTCTATCGAGCGAAACAGGCCCCTTCACCAGCTCGAGCACGAAAAGCCCGATGAAGTAGACAAACTCTACGATCGCAATCAGGCTGAAACCGACGAAAATGCCCCAAATACCGCTTGCATCGCCTGGAAAAACATTCAAATTTCAATAACATTCGTCTGTTAACAATCGAACGAAATTAAAATAGAAAAATAGAAAATTATTTTATGTGTGTCCATTAACAAAGACCATAAAAGGAACACTTTTGCACTTGATTATATTTCCGCAAAGTGAAGGACGGTTTAATCCTTTCTTATTTACATTCGACACGAAATTTCCATTAAATTTATGCATGCAAAATTCCGTTAACCACGTGAAAGATATAATTCACATTGTCCTAGTGCACTCGTGTAACAAAATAAAACCCATTTCCTCGTCCCGAAGTTACAAGACGAAAGTGGATTTTCCTCACGAAAAATGTAAGTCCTTTTATACCGTGTACATTATACTACTTGTAACTCGGTGCCACAAGTATGTATACGTAACACAATGGATCGGCACGATGTTCCTTGCGCTTTTATTCCTTCCGCCTCGAGACAACAGATTACACGCTGACGGGTAAAAGTTTCGTGCTACGAATCCTCTTCGTTACACAACGAGATCCTTTTGTGTTTTATAATCTTCAGCCGCGACGTTTCCTCGACATCTTATTTCACAGATTTTCACCGTAATCTTACCCTCGATCAGATCCCTTAAATCGAGCCGGATTCGATTGCTCATTTCGCCCCAGATTGAACGGATTGTGTTAAAACGTTGAACGAAAATCGAGAAAGAGAGATCTAACTCGGCTCGTTCGCTTTTAGAGTGATTTCTATTTTGTACGATTGGCGATGGAAAGAAATTCGCAGTTGTTCGATTGGAATTTAATAAAATTTTAAGTGGTATCGTTGTTATATTAATTTCCTTAGCAGTCTTCGTTTTAAAATTTCGTACAAATTTTCTGTCAGTTAATTTTACTCACCCAACAGCTCGTACCATCGATAAATCACGTCTTGCCTCAGCCTCATGGTGCCGAAGTTATTAAAATATATCGTCAGCACGCCTTGATCCTTGATCTCCACGTCGTTCCTTCGAATTTTTAACACATCGTCCATCGAAAGATTAATGAAATCGATATTAAAGATTCTGAAATTAATATACTCACAGTAGTTTAGCTGATTGTCGATCAGACACTACCAAATCAGACTCGGTTAATTTCGCAGTGTATGTGATGTCATTACATTCTGGATAACAGGTGTAACAGTGCATGATGGTTTCTGTATCGTGATTCGTTCCTTCGTACACGTTCTCATTGGGCACCACGGAAAACCATTTGGCTGGAATTTGAAAAATTTTGCTTACGATCAAGGAAAATATGGAAACTCCATAATCAATTATATCTTACATTTGTGGAGGGTCAAACACGGCACGTCCTCTATATTACAGACCCTTCTAGATTCTGGACAATCGAAAAATAAAAGAAATCTTAAAATAATTAACAAGTAGATTGTATTCTTAGATAAACGTCGAATTTTCCTCGTTTAATTCCGTGCGATCCGCTTTAAGCTTCGAGTCCCATTGGGGAGCTCGCGAAAGCACGCTATTTAGCCAGATCTCGTAGCTTCTAATCTCGAGAGAGTATGGCTGGAGAATCGTTAATGTCTTCCACTATTCAATGCCCTGTAAGTCGTTTTGTCGTCGGCGTGAAAGTGAAAGTAGAGATGGTATGGTGAACGTCTCCTTTGTTAGGCAACTTTGCCTTCAAAGTCTACAATGATTTCTACGATAGAAACGAAGAGGAACTTACTTCGATTAGGCAAGTAGAACGGTATGCACTTGCAGATTTTCCATACGTCTTCGATTCTACAATCAACGATGCAGTCGCTGTAAGTGTAGAATGGTCGTAACCAGGTCATTTCATCCTCGAACACGCAATCTCGTTTGTCGAACGGATACGGAATAATACTCCTTGTGCTGTAAAACATGATCGCCTCTATTTCCACGCTTTTGTGTGTTCGCGGAGAGACGAGAATATCGATGACACCACCGCTGATCATATCGGGATAATCGTACGGACTGAAGATCGCCACCTTCGGAAAGAACGCATCCTTTGTGATAAGCGTAAAAAACCCTCTCGCGAAAATGAAATTTCAATATTCATGAATAACGACGAGACTGACGCGTTGAATGACCAGCTCGGTATAAAATATTCCCAACTCCTGGACGTATTTACACGCTCGCCTGGGAACGCTAAATCTCGACTGTTCTCCGGAGGAAAAACTGTAATTTGCATAATGCACCGTCGTTTGTCTCGTACGATAATCGTCGCGAGCAACCACGACCCACATTTACCGCGATTAAACTTTCCCGCTTTTGGGTCTAGTTGGATTATTTCGGGACGACGTAAAGTAAAGCAGAGACTTAGAAATTTTCGGTTCGATTCTATTAAGTTTCGATTCTACTATCTGAAGCTCGCGATTCTTATTTCTCCAAAATAACAAAACAGGGAGTTAGAAAATTGCCGCTCTGTCCATAAATTACCTTCCAGCCAGAAGTAGGCAGTATGGAATAAAAATAATCGTCCAGAAATGGTTCCATCAGCACGGATAGTCCACCGTCTTCGGTAAGGTTCTCCACTTTAATCGGTTCAGTTCTATGATCCACCTCGGGGTTCCTATCGAAATAGAACAGCGAAGATACAAGGGAAAAAAGAAATCGAACTGAAGAACAGGGAACGGTGTTGCACGTGATGCTGTCGTTATACGGAAAATAATTTGCAGCGGGCAAAACCTAGAGAAATGGAAACGGCTAGGAAACACGATACGGTGAAAATTTCGCATGCACGCGACCGTGGAACCGTATAGAAGCTGGTGAAAAATAAATTTCGACAGCTTGGAAGGTGTCGCGAGACGAGTCGAATAAATGATGAGTCTGAGTTAGCGTTGAGAGAAACATCAGGTAGAGAGATGAAAGCTTGAAACTCACAGCAGCGTATCATCCCCTTTAGTCGCGTAATTGAAGACGCAACAGAATCCATCTTGGGTCTTGCGAAACGCGAATATCTCTGAACAGTTCCTCTCTTGGTTGTTGAAACTACACCTTGATAGAATGGCCGAGCATTGTGGTGTCAACTGAAACGTTTCAATCGTTCGAAACAATTCTTAACGACTGTTAACCCTTTTAAATGAACGATATCCAGTTGTAAAGGGTTGAAAAAATAATAAAAACTCACTCGTTTCATGACGTTGGTGATGTCGTAATAGCCGTCGTTAAAATATGACAGAAGCTGATCGATTCGAAACGATCGTGCCTGTGTTATGAATTCGGAATCGTAGAGATCGCCCAATTGCAAAATCATGTCGAGAATCTCTTCAGAAGTTAAACGAGAGATGTTTGAGTTATATCTAATTGGAAAAAATCATGAAAAATTCAGTCTATGAATTCGTTGCAAAATTACGATGAAATTGATTAATTTATGAATAATTAATCAGTTTCGATCAATATTGTAAAACGTACGGGTTAAAAATTGAATTAAAAATTCTATTTCCGTGAAAAGCTTCGACGTTATTCATGGAAGTTAGTTAAAAACTCACTGGGAAAAGATCAAATATGCATTCTTATTGCTGAAAGTGAAATAATGGTTCTAATTTCGGTATTAATAGATTTTAATAATTCAAGATCGATAAATGTAATGAACTGCAATTCCAATATTTATATAAAATATACATACTACCTTTTGAATAAATTTTGCGAGTAGAAATTGAAATTAATGATAATCTTAAATATTCAATTACACCTTTATGAGTGCAATATATTTCTTACATTTCATTTGCCATTTTCACAGCGGATCGACGACTTATTCGATTGATAGAGCAGATGGAAACGCCTGCAAACATTAGACTTAGCTAATTCGCACTCGTCTGTTTTAATTAAAATTTCTGTTTACCTGGGAAATTTAATTTGTACGTGGGAAAGGATTCCGTATCCACGCTGATCATCAGAGGATTCTTCATGAATTCCAGATAACCATAATAAACGGTGTAAACCATAGCGGGCACCATGAACGCGTACAATAGAAACCATACCGTTCTAAAAGCACAGCAGAGTTTGTTAAAATATGAAAATTGGCACGCGTTTCATTAAAATTTGTCGAGGCCAGAAAGAACGTTTAAATTACCTGTCGAACCACGTCGTTCCGGATTCCGTGAAATATTTGAAACCCGCCAGCTTCGTATACTTACAGTAGAGCTTGCCGTATTTTATCAACGCTCGAACGAAACGCGATCTTGTTTCGAGCTTTTCGTGTTTTAAAACTTCCTTCTCATCGTATATTCGCATTTTATCGTCCCACGGAACAACCTGCTTCTCGAAATACGCGGCAGCTATGCTTCTTTCAACGTTACGTTAACTCAGCGAAAGATTAATTGAAATCGAAGGATTTAAAAACGAAAAGGAGACTAGAAAATAAAATTAAAATAGCTTTGATTGAACGGAATTACGGAAACGATTGTTAACCTCTTGGTGTTTACACGACGACTGTGATCTACGGCATTTACATTCGGCCTCGCCAAACGTTTGTCACATCATTCTTTTTGTACCGTCCTTCACAATGGCACTTGATGCACGCTGATCAGGCCTGATTTGCATGAGTGATTGTTCAGAAGATTATTTATTTATTTATTCTACATACGTTTATACATTTGATGTCATTTACTAGTAGATTCGAGGCCTGTGATTTTCTGATTTCATCTACTTTACTTCCTTCTCTCTAAATGCTATTAGATAGGTCCCTTTGTTGAAGTGGTGATTGATCGACCGATTTTGTAGAAGGAAATTGTTAGAAATTTATGGGAAAATGTTTACGTTAAACTTGACTACAGTCTCAATATTATAGGGTCATAGCGATTGATATTCTTGAAATACAAAAATTTGTTATTCATATTCAATCACCCCAATAGTTTTCTAATCGCGAATCCGACATGTTTATCTGGATGTTCGATCGTTTAAAATAAATAACGCTAGGCGAATCACATACGTGCATCATCGTAAAAAAATTTCGATCGGATGCTACTCATGCATATTATATCAAAATGAAATATTTAAAAAGTAGCATAAACGTTTACCGTAAATTCTACCGATCCTGCGTTCGATTTCAACTATAAACTAGTCTGGATGTGCCTTCAAATAATTAATAAATCGTCTCATAATTTTGCTCGATCAATTATGAATATTCTATACAGTTTCATTTTGAATCGGGTGTGATTGATGACGAACAATTATTAAAATTCATGAAGCTCTCTCTTCGTCCATCGTGTGTCTTTCCGCGGTCCGTTTCGACGTATTGAATTTCTCGATGCAAAATTCGTGTTCGGGGTAAAAAAATACGAGCAACGATGTAATGAAATTATTTTTAAAATTCACCGTACATTCGAGCGTAGCGTGATCGTTATAATTAATTCCTTCCCGAACGGGATTTCATTAATATTTAATTCACAGTTTCGTTCTACGGAATCTATGAAAGTTTTCGTTAGTATTCAAACCGTAATCAGGATTCAACGATACTTGAATTCCATTTTAAAAGGAACCAGGGGGTGTTAAATTTGCTGACACGCGAGATTCGATGACCTCTGGTAAAATTCATGACCCATCCCCGTCCAGAGTAAAAAGTATAACGAATTCTAACAGTGGTGCAACGTGACGTTAAATGCAATGCATAGTCGCCCCATAATCTCATTTTCCCGCGATTATGGCATTCTTTTCTCTTTTCATTTGCCACCCCTATGATTTGCTACCTTGATTTGCGACTCGCCACGAATCCCTTTTTTAAAACCCCCCTCGCCGTATCTCTACCATGAAAGATCATCGCTATAATTCAATTAAGAGAAGTTAAACGGCGCGGGTATGCAATTACGATCTGTCACGTTGAATTTTAGTAGCGTCGCGTTTCACTGCGTGGCTTTTTCGAGCCGTTGTTTTGCCCCGTTTATTGCTCCGTGAAATCGTATGGATTTCAATTACCCAAAGATAGCTAAGTTCGATCGTAGACGAGGCTGCACCGAAATATTTTATTAATCTCCCGAAAGCCGCCGGATTCTGCTCGGGGATTTACATGCAACCCGTTGCAGTGTTGCATACGGAACGCCGATTTCTATGCTCTGCGGTCTCGTACTTCGTACTTTGTGGTTCTACCCTGATCCTCGGACAATCGAAGCTTACGATTCCTTGTAACGAATAATAGGAATATGCACCGACGAGCTTTTATTATATTGAAATTCTAGCAGTAAGATTTCTTTAAAATATTCCTGAAATATTCCTGCATCCTGCAACCATGGAATCCCACCGAATAGGGACACGTTGTGCATTTGACAAGTGCACGATTGCATTCTGCATTTTCACCATGATTCTAGACGATCTCGTTTACATTGAGATAAACTTGATCTGGCACAGATTACAAGGTTTATTTTTAGTAGAACAATGCAGAAGTGGTACTGATTTTGACCGTGATTACTGAGAAATTTGGAAAATTGTAACCATGTCTGACGTATGGTTGACTTATACTACTGGCAGTCACAATTTTCCTGATTTCTCTATTACATTTGCTAAATATTTTCTTTTCGAGCAATTCCTACGTGGAACGAAGAATTTAATTCGTCATAAAATCATGAGATACCCGTATAATTTTTCCAAATTTTTACGACCCCAATTTTCCAAGCTTTACCCTGTAACACGTGCCGGTACGAATTTTTAACGTCACTCGACTCCGGGCCGATATGCATTTTGCAGCATGTGATTAAACGAAATAAAACGAAACGCTCGTTTCGATACGAGGGGAATGGAATCTGGGTTAAAAATTAATCCAACGACGAGAGATTGCTGGCAATTTACGCGACTGAATATGGAACAGGACGTTTTATAAATATGATAATTGGCGACGTGGGTGCGGTGTTTAAAAAAAATATAGAAGCATTGAAATGATAGTTAACGGAACGGTCGAAAACTGAATTAAACAGACTGGATTTTGATCTCCACGAATTAATTGTTAAAGAATGGTTATCGTATCTGAATGCGAAATGTTATGGGTCGTGTCTTTCCTTTATTATCTATTAATAATTTTTAGCTTTTATTAAAAACCAAAGGAATTGAAATCGAATTCAATCGTAGATAGGTACGTATAGGTATCCTGATCACGGCAATTATTTTAAATAGCCAGGCGCATCGATTCCGTGGGGCATTTTGAAATTATCGTTATCTGCGTATTACGAATCACACCATTAATCAGTGTGCAAATAGTTTTGTTGCCGCTATTAATTTACAATGCTTTAGTATAATATCCTACTATAAATTCCGCGCGTGGCCCGCGTTTGCCTCTGCCGCCTTTTGACAGATTAAACCAACGCACCGTATTCCCTAATTAATACTGCCAATTAAGAAGATTTAGCTTCGAAACCGGTTTGTAACTCGTAAACTAAGGTTTCCTATTCGACCAGAAGACAAAAAATTCAACTCAAATGAAATTTTAAATAATTACAACTTGTGTGACACTTTTTAATACGAAACAAAGAGCATCGAAATCGTTAAAAAAGACAAAACAACGAAAGGTGGATCCGCGAGACATCGGGAAAATGGTAATCACCACAGGGTAGAGATTGAGGAAAGAAAGAAAATTGCATCGCCCCTTTTTCGCTTCGACGTTCTCTTCATAATTGTGGCTGGACGCGAAATTCGCGAACGTTTTTAAGCGACGAACAAAGAGTTTGAATTGCGCGTTGCAGCACGGGCACAAAAGATTAAGCGGAGAGTTAATTACGGTCCGTATGGTGGAAGAAGAACGCATACGTAAAAGAGGCGAGGCAAAGATAAAGGAAAAAGGAATTAAGAGAAACACCCGCCTATTTTCATGCGCGACAAAAGTTGAGAAGAAAGCCTTTTGTTTCGTCTTAATTGCGTGACTAGTCGCGTTACACGTCCTCCGTCTTATCTCTGCCTTCTGACCATCTGCATTTCCGACTTTCCACTTTATCCTATCTTTCCTACCGTTTAAACATTCCACGGCTGTCTCCAGGGAAAGAACGCGAATAGTTATTTCTTGGAACGTCTGAATGCTTTCCTTAATTTAACTTTGCAAAATTTTCGAGCTTAGAATTTCCTCGGTTCGAGCAACACCGATCATCGACGCAGAGATTATTATTTTCCATGATTAACTCTCACGACTTGACCTGGTTTTAATTACTCCTTTAACCCTTCAATCTCGCGTAACATCAAACAAGGTATCAACAGAATTCCAAGGTTGGATTTAAAAAAAAAAAAGAGGAAAATCTTCGATGTTTGCGCGATCCAATTACGGGCGAATGCTCGATTAGCGAGAAAGGTTTCACGCGTACGTTCGCCATTTTCGCGAGATGGAAAATGGGGTGACGAAAAGGGAAAAGAATTAAGAGGGAAGCCACCGGTTTTCATACACGAACGAACGCAGCTACCTGGCGCTGTAAAGGAAGATAGGAAGAAAGAAGGGGCTTTGTTAAGCGCAAATTGAATGGGTACTTCCGTCTTCCCCTCGTCAGTTTGCGGAAGCGTGGGAGGCTGCCTCTTTAAGCGACAACGATCCACCTTCCAAAGATCCCTTCGATAGCATATGTTCCCGGATTTACACAGAGATAATATGTTTAAGAGCGTGCAGGGGAATTTTTATTATTCCAATTACATTTTTCGAGGAGTATTTCATTTTACGAGTTCACGATTCAATTATTATGCAATTCGTTCGATTGCCATTACATAGAGGGTCGAAGAAAATTGCAATACACGTACAGAATGAATAAATCATTATTATATCTAAACATTTGCTGATGTATAGTTGATAGGAACAAACACGTTTCCCTGTTTGCTGATTTCAATGCACGCAGCCACGTTAATTCCCTCAATAAATGAAACGCAAATATTTAACGATGCGTGTTTAAACGGTTCCAGGAATGAGCTCGGTGAAAAAACGATTTTTCCCGGCCGTGTAAATAGTTGGAATGGAAAAACAATGTACGAAAAGTAGAACAGTGTTCGACAATAAAAATGAAAAAATAACGAACCAACGATTCCCGCTGGTGCATTCGGAAAATACAAACGAATCGGTAGATCGCGAAGAATTCAACCAATTGATAGTTTCGAAATAAAGCAATGAAAAGATTCTACTCTTTAGCTAAGAGCTCTCTTGTTTCACCTCCGATAAATAACAATCGTGTTTCACTTAAAGCCATTGCCTTGTTGAAACCTAATTTTCCCTATCGATTAACAAATTTTTCTCTCACGAGTGTCGGATACTTCTTTCGCGAGGAAAATTTGAGACGAGTTAACAGGGTTGCTAATTTATCACGTGTAATTTAGAAGCCTGGCACTACAAAGGTGTCGTTACGGTAATTTAATAAAATATTAAATATCAGGAATGTAAAAGTTTAATTTTCAGTTTAATAGAAAACACTTTCTGTCTAAAAATCGTCCTCTTTCTTTCTATAAACCTTAGCCATTGTGCTTGTTTCTTTCTCTCTTTGTTCGCAAATTCTCTGGTCGTTAAACCAGCAGCCCTCCCTCATTTTTAATGCATTAAAGAACATCGCTGAACAGGAGACACGTATTCTACAAGAATCTATCAGGAGACGATAGAAAAGGGAGAAGACGAGGGACCAGTCGATCCGTGTCGAATAAAAGTGGATCGATGCTGAAGGACGATCATAATAAAACCGTGGGATATTTCGAAGAAAAAAAGTTGTGTTACGGAATGAATAAGGGTTGAAGCGTCGTCATTCGACGTTCATTTTTTACCTCTTCAACCCGATCATTTTGTTTCTTACGCGTCTATAAAACCTTCCATAAAATACTAAGAACATAAAAAGAATGTACAGGATTCGTTGTTTTACGAGCTGTTCGGTTCGAAAAGAAAAATCAACGATTAAGAAACAAAGGTGAATTGTAAGCAAGCTTACTGTTAATGGTGTAACTGAAATTAGTGGACCTCTTGGGACACCATGGTACCGGGAGCAAATGTCGTACCTTCGTCACGAAAATAAGGCAATTCACGTCGTCATTCGTCTTTGCCAATTTGAAAGCAACCTGATTCGAAACCGTGTCGAGGATTCTCTAGGAAGCCGCTTTTACGAAAGATACTTTCCGTTTACGTGAACTTATAAAACGTACCTTTTAAAGAACGATACTGCATCGATGAGTTCGCTTTTACGAGTATTTCACGACGACCAAATCGATCTCCTCCACGAGCATTCGATTGCAGAGAGGTGTCACAATGTCGTTGATCCTCGTAAAAGCGAACGACAATTTTATAGTTCGACCTGTGCATTAGCTTTAATTTTTCTCGGACTTAAGAAGAATTCAAATTAATTTTATTGCCATTGCGAGGAGAATAGGTGCATTTCAGGTGGTGTTATTTAGCTTCCTTAGTGGTCTGTAAATTGGATACACGATAAAATTTTACTATTAGTCCTAAATCTATTTCATAAATCCATGGAAATTTCATCGTGCCCCCTAAAATATAAAACGGCAAACATTTATGATTTCAAACGAGGCTGAAAAATAAAAAAGATCGAGTGACAGGAACGTCTGTGACGATCTGTAAAATTTGCTTAATTTTCATTTGGAAATTTAGAAATTTTTCATCGTTCGCAAATGAAGAAAACGCTGATGTACCGAAACAGGCGCGATTCGACCCTAATCGTTGGCTATTTCACTCGGACCCAGCACGTGTATTCGATGCACCGAAATGGCGATTTGCGAACATCAGTCAAACAGTGGCACGTGTTACCAGTCGCCGTCACGAGTGGCCGTCATATCGTTGTCGCCGGCTGTATAACACGTCCGTTCAAGTGTTTCACGGAAAATCGTGGGGAACGAAATTTTCGATGAAATTTTCACGGGATCGAGCATCGACAGCAGTCGATAATGAAGGATGATTGGGCGTGGCGGCAATTCGGAATTAAAGGGTGTCCTTTTGTTCGTGGCAATCGCGTTGGAATAATTCTGCACCGACGAGGAAAAAAGCCGAGTCAGCCAGAAAATGAAGTGACGCGCGGTGGCATTTTGCTCGACCTACGTCGAGCGGAAAAAGAGGTAACCGGTGAACTCGCCGAAGGAAATTGAATGTAATCGAATGCGCATCTTGCTCGATGCATTTTACTCTGTTAAGAATTTTTTACGATCCCGATTCTAGTTGATCGTGGAAGATTTTGTCGAGCGTGACAAATGAACGGTGATGATAATTATCGAGCCGTACTACTTACCGATAGAAACGTAAGATAAATCAAGTCGCTGCATAAATATACCCGTTTCGAGCGATTCACAAAGCCGACAAAGGGTTTGAAAAGAGGCATTCAAAGCTCGGTTGTATCGAAATTCGAATGGCTTCTGCATCTGACAGCGTATTATCGCGCTCTTTTCAGCGAACAACTCTGATCCGTGATTCGGTACCGTTGATAAATCTGTGGGAAAACGTGCAACGCGAAAGGGAGACGGTAAAGGCAGGATTTCGCCGTAGAAATATTTGAGTAGCTCGATAACGACGATCAGGATTTACGTGCGACCCGTCACCGAGGATCCTCCCATGGCTCTAGATTTTTATAAAAATCAAGCATCGCTGAATGGGTATTTAGAATGCGCGAATAAAATATATTACGAGGTGAAAACGAACAGTTGTAGCTTTCTCGGCTACGTCTCGAGGGGATTAACATGCTACGAGCCACTAAGCTTCCAGCAGGTTCTGCTTCATTAATTCGAAACGCTGGATGCGTGACGTTAATTGCACAGGCTGAATTGTAGCCAGCTACCCTAAAACCGCTAAGATTTTAGATTTTAGATCGTTTCTACAAATTTGATGCGTTGAAATACGAAATTCGTTCTTTACTTTTCGATTTGTTGCACGACGCGTTCGAAATACGCGGCACCGTCGCGACGTTACTTCGCGAGAGAGGAGGAAAGTTTTCGCGAGTAGAAGTTGAAAGTACCAACCGGATGGTCGTTGAAAGAGGAGCACGATAACGGATACCGGAGCAAGGAGAATGTTAGAAACGCGAAACAACGCGACCTACATACTGGAATTACCAAGTCCTGCCACGTCTTCTGAAATATAATCGCGGTACTGTTCGGAAACGAAATCCAGCTTTCAATTAGAACTCGCTGGGAAAAAGTTGAGCCACTTGCCCGGCGGGGCAAGTCGGCGAATCCTGTGAAAAATTCAACAGCTAGAGGGTAGTTGTTTGAAATTTCGCTAGAAGAATCGTGGCCTTTAATCGCGACTGAAAAAGTATCAGACTCGAAGCGAACTTCTAGGAGAGGATCACACGGGCTGTTGAAACAAGACGGTTTGTTCTCGCAAGACGATACCGTTTCGTTTCGTTTCGCGAAACGTTTTAAACGACACTCGGGACGGAAAACGTCTCGGTATAATTGAGGACGACCGGATGCCGGTTACGTTTCCGTAAAGTGCACTTTGCATACAGCAACCTGGTCCGGTGCAATATGCATACGGAATGACCCGTGTACTTCCCTCGCAGACTTTTTATTATTATGCACTTACGAGCATCGCGTTTTTCTTTCCTATCCGTGCTATGTAAACTTTACACACGCTCGCATATCCTCTAGTCACGCTGCGAGCTTCTCCGTATGCGCACTCGACCCGAGCTTTCTCCTTTAGTTGCTTCAAGAAAAATTAATAAACCTATCGACGTTCTTTCGTTTAGTTTCTACAAAATTCCTTTCTACTACTGAAAATATAAATATTCAAACTCTTTAGTGTAGGTTTCTCATCTCAGAATGGGGGGGTTAGTGGGGCTGACGACTGATGATCTCTACCCCAGATCAGTGTTTAAAAGAGACTTGGGGGGTTTATAAACGGAGGTGTTAAAGGACGCGATTAGATTAACAAACTAACAAAGCCAGTGCCCCGTTAGCCACCGGACTAGCCGGTGCCCAGACCACACCACGAGGAGGAGGGGTTGGCACATGGTACCGTCGGGGCTGGGTGCAAGGCCCCGACGGCACCTTTGTGGTCCGATCTCTGTCTCAGATAACCCCCCACCCCTTTGGTACTCATATATTCGAATCCCGTCCCCATCTGATGGTTGCTGACCCGAGCTAAGGGCGTCCAAGGGAGACTTACCACCTTCCCTTTTCCCCTTTCCCCTTTCGGGGAGACTAAACGCCTACATTAGTATTAAATAAGCAGCCATAGTCCATTCATCATTGTCCTTTTACGGGATAACAAGGAAATTAAGTAGTACAGCTACATCATAGATCAGACACGAGCAACACCGGATAGAGTTAAAACCGATGGTGTTCGGATGGAGAAGCTGGGGTCCATAAACGAGCCGTTAAAAGGTGAAAATCTCCGGACGGAAGGTACAGACTGCTCTTAATTAAAATCTGAACGCCTATCGCGATCCCAGACGGCCGGGTCGAAACGAAGTTTCTCTCGAGTTGACTTATTTAATGGAGGATTTCGAAATTGTAATGCCAGCTGCTACTAGTGCCGGTGCTCTCGGCAGACTGTCGCGGATTTCATACGCGGGCAACTTAAATACGTCACGCGCTAATGCTTCCGCCAGTCGTATACACATTCAACTCGTTGCTGAAACTGCATTCAATGAACTCGCAAACTTCTCACGGTAATTTCGAACGGTAAACTACGTGTTCCAAGAAATTCTTTCGTCTGTTATTATGCACGCGTCAACCTCTTCCTCTTCTACCAAATTTAATTAGAAAATATCTTACAGAATATTATTAAACGATTTCGTGTCACAGGGTTAAATTCAGGATATTTTAATTTAATACTAAAATGAATTTTTGCAATCTTTTTGTAACGACCAAAGTAATTGAAATCCTAATAGTATTATTGTACGGACGCCTTTTAATATCCGTTTAAACGGGATGGAAACGATACTCGAAGAGACGGCTTTTGAACGTTTAAATTACTAAACGAGCGACGTTCTTGAAAATAGCCAACAGGGGTGGCCGCGACACGGTGAGCAAACACGATTATTCTCAAATGGCAGCGACAAGGGAACTGCATCGTGGGATAATGAATTGCTCGAACGAGTTGGCCGTGAAAGTTCATAAAATTCAGCGCCGGTGGTACGAGTGAAAATTGTTTCGGTCACTCAATACCATTCACCCTCTTTTGCACTGTGCCCCGTGTACCTATCGTACGCCTTGGAGAGCGAGGAAATATTCCATCCGGGCAACAAGCTACAACTTGAACAGTTTTATTTATGCGGCCGCTTTGCAGAACGCTGGAACGTTAATACACGTCCATTTTCGAAGTGGTCGGATTTATTTCGACGGTGCATTAATAGCAGTCTGCACCGTCAAAATTCAATGCCTCGTTTCACCAAGGTATCATGGTAGCAGTGTAATTTGTCACCCTCAAATAATTCGACGTTTCACCGATCTTGGCATTTTTGACTGATGAAAAAGCTTCGTTTCGAAATTCGAGTGGTAAATTATCGCCGATTCTACGCTGTGCGCGCTTTTGTAGGTCTGGGTCACCATTGACCCGGCTATCGTCGTTCCAGGATTAAAAGGTAAACTGGGATACGACTCGTCTCTGAGAGAAATTCAATTAACCGCAACGTTATCGGTCGCGATCATCTATAGCTGGTACACCAAGATGAAAATAGATAACATTGGTTTCGTTATTGAATTTCCTCGTAACTACCTAACTATTTTCGTAACGGTTAATTACAAATGGGACGGAATGGAAATAGAACAGAAGGCAAATGAAGCGAATGATAAATTGCCAGGAGAAAAATTAAAAATAGAATAGATATATATAATGCAGTTCAAAGTTCTCTTCTTTCCTATGATTAAACTTCGTCCAACAATTTTCTCAAGCTTTCTGTAACATTTATCTTCTCTTCCAGGCACACATACTCGTAAATCCCTTATAAGTGTATGTACATTTCCATAATGCCGAACAGATCCCTTGGAAAGTAACCGGGACCGAGGGAAACTGTAAAACAAACTTATTTCTATGAAGAACACATTTTGCGTCTTCTCGAGCCTACCTCTTGAATCATCCCGAATAAAGTTTCAAATATTATACCGATATTCAAATGAAGAACGAAGCGTTTTATATAATATTCGTCTAACGAGGGGAATATTCCAAGTGAAATTCAATTACTGTAACTTCTTTTAAATTGCTAATAATGACACCGAGCGGTTAGCACGGTGTTCTCGTAATCGAGTACTCGGTTGTTCGAAACGAAACCGACGTCAATTAAAGATTAATTGAAAGCTGAATAAATGAGTTTGGCTTCGTTATTTTCGAAATAATCTGCCGGGGTCAGCAAGAAGTGGCCAAGTATCGAGCGAACAACGAACAAGAAGATATCTAGGTAAACTTTGCTGATCTCTAAGTTTCTGGCTACTTATTGAAAATGCACCAACACCTCGACAAACTTTTACCCCTACCGCATGAATTTCGTTGATGTTGCTACCCTGGAGAAATCATATCGCTCCTTTCACTATTCTCGTCATTTCCGTTCTAAATGATGATAATTTCATCTTTATTAATGTTTTATAAATCCTTTGAAAACTATCGAATTATTAAACAATCCATTTTTTCGTTTAATTATTAAAATCTGTCCGCAAAATTAACTTGAAATTAGCAATTCCCTTTGCTTCTTCCCTAAACCGCGCTTCGCTTTCCGGTCGACCGGGCTGCAAATTAAGCTGCCCGATGCGTCCGACGAGCACTTTGCCGGGAAAATTTACATTCAAAAATGGCCACCGTCGTGGAGGAGCGATTTTTGCCGCGAGCACGATCCAAAAACACCGGGTGCATAATTCGCGACGCTCGGAGGGGACGGTTGCTCATCAACGATGCAGGAGCATCCGCGTAAAGTTTCGAGGGGAAATTTCGCGGCGTACACGCCGTTCTCCCAAAGGGGAGAAATCTTATCGTGATTTTGCACGGTGATCGCGGGACCCGCGTATATCCCGCGACGATAAATAAGGCTGACCCATTTAACGGCGACGCCCGGCGAGCAGAGGGTCAAAGTGCATTCCGTATTCCGGAACACGGTGCCGGTGCAGTTTATAGAACCGGGTCGTGGTAGCAACATACCAATTAGCCGGTTTGTATGGCGTGTACGCGTCGTCTGGCATTTCCTTCGGTCGAAAAACAGCCGACAAAAAGCACCCTTCTTGCGCACACGCTTCTTCGCTACCCTTCGCTGTTCTATACGGCCCCCGATGGCTACACCGTGATTCGTAACGCGATATTACTTGAATATCCTGAATGCTGTGATTACGAATTTCGAGGTCGAGAGTATCTACCTGAATCGTGCGGCAAATAGACTTTCTCGATATTCGAGATTTTGAAGCGATTTTGGGAGATTTTGTAAGCTTTCCAGGAGAACAGAATAATGTAGACGATTGCTTTAAAATAAATTTAAATCAAATATTTTGAATACCTTTGTTACTCGTAGGATATGCCTATTTTCAATCAGTGTAGCACAATTTCGTTCTGAATCATTACTGTAATTAATTTTGCAATATCTACTAATTGACTCGTAATGGATGATTAATAACTCTCGGTGAATTCTCGTATAGGTAAGCATATACATTTACACTTGGTAAATTATTCTATGAAAATACTCGCAGTGACTGTTTTGATTAAACCTGACGATGATAATATTAATATTGGTAGGCACTTCTTTTAATTAATATCGACAGCGTCGAAGAAATCCCATATGATCCCCTCGGTCTGTAAAGCCTCTCCGATCGAATTCGAAATCTCCAATAAAAGTATTTTCCCATCCAACTTCGATTGAATTTCATTCCACAAACTTGGAAATTTTATTTTCGTGTTACCGGTATTCCAATAATTGAATCTTACATTTTACACGAAATCTTCTTACGGTTTCTGAAGAAAGGTTCTTAAATTTATAGTAGCTTTTCCTTTCGATTGATTAATAAAACAAATAATTATTTTGTTTCTTTTTGTTCTTACCGTTTGCTTATAAAAACGTGCAATTGGTAAAACTGATACATCATTCTCCCAAGGTAGCTACACGGTGCGGTTATCCACCTTCTTTCCCAAGACAATTTTACCCTCTTCCGGCAATGTGATTTAGTAGAGCATCGGGCCATGGGAAACAGTAATTTCCATGCATATTTCGCCCGGGAAACAAACCGGTAAATGTATTTACTGCGATCCTGCGGTAAGTCAAAGCCACGAACGTGAGGGAAATATGATGTTTTTCCTGGTCTGAATTGCACGGGTCACGAAGGGTACCGATAGTATAGGAAGCTTGCGGTGTTCGGAATCTATTGAATCTATCGTACAGAATACCGATACAAAAAATTCGAATAAATTTATAAACTTCACAGAACAGTAACATTCCTTTTTGTTTTAAATAATTGATGACCGACTAAAATCTACACAACGAGAAATCATTTTATTAAATGAAACAATTCATGAATGAATTTTTTCTCGACGTACTGCACGTTTTATAAACACGTATTTTATTGTTCAGATTTTCGGGATTGTCACGTTGGCCAATTTTTTGCATCAGCTTTATTCCCGTTCGCATATTTTCGCGCCTCTAAAGCTTTATTTTATTCGGTACCATTGTAACGATAAAACATCGCCGGATGTTGGTCCGCTAGTTTGAAAATCGTGCGTGAAATTAATGATTTTTAACTAAGTTTACGGCATTCGTCAATTTGACGTGTTGGAAATTCAGAGATGGAATAACGAATTAATCTAAGTAACGCGTTCCGAGGTATAAAATAGTTTTACTTTGCACATTCGGCCTTCGTAGGAATTTCAGAAGTAGAATTAGTCTTGCGACAAGACCGAGCTCCCTTGAACGTTTCGCTTCGCAGCTGTCGTGTCATGCAAGAATTAGTATCACCACCGAAACATGCCACATTTCTGTTCCCGCTGTTTCACACCGCCGAACAACCACACCTTTCAAGGGCGTTATGCATACATAAGAGATCGCATGATTTCTCAGCCGTTGCC